GAAAAATTCAACCGTTCAAAAATTGGAAAAATAATAATAATAATAATAATAAAATAACGTCTAGGTGAGATGCAAGGCATTTCACCCGAGCTTCAAGCCTAGGTACCGCCTAGACGAGCTTTTTAGAACACTGATTTGTAGTTATAGGTTTTAATTTGCAATCATAAAACTCATGCAATTTTCCTATTTTGTTAAAGTTAGTATTAATCGGAACTAAATTTAGTATGCAGATCTCGTGAAAAACGATATTTTACTTTGTTATTTAGCTATGATATCATATACGTTTGGGATTTGAGGTGAACAAATAAGTTGATTCGACCTTCGACCCGAACATGAAAGTTGCTCCATTTTGAGTTCCGAACATGGTTCCATCAATGGTTTCTTGAATGAGCAATCCCATCATTTGTTTTACTTGCTTTTCCCTTGATCGCGTCCTTGGTCCACCATCAACTATCAACGGGTCTCGTCTCACACTTGCCTTCGTCGGGCTCGACTCCTGGATCATATCAACATTGAATTACGTTTCTAATCAACATTATTTTTCTCGATTAGCTGATTTTATTTTTGAATAATGGAAAAAATTGGTCAAGTGATATTTCGCATAAAAATAATCATACAATACATATTAAAATTAAGCAGCAAATAACAATTTAGCATATAATGCATGAATGCACATGTAAATCCATCTAACTATAATAATGCGACGATTACTTGATCCTTGTGATCCAACATGCATCTCTATAGAAAAGGTCATTGTGTCCACTATCAAGTTGGGACCCTCCCACTAGATAAATCATATTTGACAATGTATGACTACATAAGTTTAATATTGTTTTGTTTGGCTACTAAGATCATAAACAAGAGTCTCTATAGGAGGTTCGTAGATGATCTCGATTGAGTGTGTAACATTTGTATAAACCTCTAGATATTTGAAAATAATTTCTCCAGCTACGAGATGATCACAAATTATATTCTTATCTAGACGATCTTATCGTGAAGGAATCCAATCAAACAACTTGAACTACGCGACCCTCACCTAAGGAATATGTTGCATTACCGACACGAGATAAGCACGTTACTTTGCTTATGGGTTGACCATAGGAGACCATAAGTTTTTATTTAAATAAAAACTCGCTCTCACTCAATATTTTAAAGTAATGAATTTTAATTAAAATAATTAATAACTGTTCACACTAATCAAATTAATATACGGTATAATTATTACAAATTTTCTTTCCAGAAAAATTTAATCTAATTATTTTTTTAAAATAATTATAAATTGTTCATATTAATCAAATTAATATAATTTTAATTATTACAATTTTTCAATCTAGAAAAATTTAATCTAAATTAAATTAATCAAAAAAATTAAAATAATTATCAATTGTTCACATTAGTTAAAATAATAAACAATTTAATTATTAAAAAAATTCTTACTGAAAAATTTAATCTAAATTAAATTAATCAAAGAAAAACCAGTGTTCAATGATATGAATCATATTCATAGTATCACGAACGATATCATAAATCAATGTATGTCATAATATCTAGAACGATAATATTTCATATCATAAATTAAAGCTTTCATAAAGCGATACAATTAACAATTATTTATAGCCCAAAAATCGACTCAAGAATTACATTAAAAACTAATTAAACCCAATCGCAATATTTAATCTAAAATTTCAACCTATAAATCTTCAAGGATCCAACATTGACATTCCAAAAATAGCAAAGGACTTTGCCACCATACCTATAAAAAAGTTAAATAATTTCAAATTCAACTTATCTAGATTCGACATGATTCGCAAAAATGAAATTGAACTGAAAGTCAACTCGAATTCATGTATTACATTGTCCTTGTAGTAGATAAATTTCCTGCTAACCTGTAAAGGTTGATTCTACCATGCAGGCAAGTTGCCTGCCCAAGCAAAATTTTGCCACATAGGCAGACAGAGACAACATGATATTTTTATTTTTTTTTTATATAAACTTGAATTTTTTTTTTTTCATTCGTCATCAAGTCCTTTTCTTCAATCTTCAATCTTCAATCTTCAATCAATTTACAAGATTCAACAATTATAAAAATTATATAATTCCTATGTTCCATAGGCTCACAATTTTGATTCTAATTGAAAAGAAAATTAAATCAAAATGATGGAGCTGTAATCCATATATCCTGTTACAGATTTGAAATACCGAATTACAATCAAGAACTTGCTACAAATAATTGGTTCACAGTTTAAAATAATCCAATCAATCAATAAATATATATAATAAATTATCCTTATAGACATCGCCCGACTAGAACATGCAATCAAGATTCAGAAATAACAAGCACGTGAACAATCTAAATTGCTCTGATACCAATTGTTGGGATACGAAAGCAAACTATCTAGAAATTTAAAAAAAAAATCTTTAATTCAATAAACAAGATCGTTTAGATGTTCATATGTATGTTATATCAAGAACAAATGATTTGAATTTTTACATAAATTCAATGATTAATTCTTGAATTAATTCTAAATCATGAACTTCCGCTTTCTAGATCACGAGCTTCTAGTTTATTTTAATCTCAAGTATTTGATGCTTCAAACCTCCAAGTTTTCTATAGTATTTTCGAAAGTCAAAACTACAGCAGTGGATGGGTATCTCCTTTTAATTAAATAAAAAAAACTAATTCTTAAACTAGACAATTGAATAAGATGAGAAAATAATTATTTTATCTCTTTTTCTCTTTTCAAATTTGAAAGTTGTGGAATTATGTATTATAATTGTTGTAGGACTTCTATTTAATCCCATAGAATGTCTAGGTTTTATCTACTCTCTATTTATGGGTATAAAATAATTTCAATCCTTGTACAATAATAATTTCACATTAAATATGAGTTCTAATTAAACTTAAGTATGAGGTTTAATTAAAGTCCACATCCAATTAGTTTATATTTAATTACATGTGTTGTTTTAGAACTTCAATTACAATTATAATTAAGTTTACAACTTTCATAATAATTACAATTAAGTACAAAACTTTATTGTAATTATAATTGAGTCCAAAACTATTATAATTAAAGTAATTAAGTTCCCATACTTTATGGAGCTATCACAAGGACTTGATTGTATATATATTATCCAATCTTCACTAAATAGATCTTATCTAGTCGACCCTAAACCATTGAATCTAATAAATAGTTTTTGCTTTTTCACTAAAGGCAAAAAATTGAACTCTTGGAATATATAAAATCACAGAAGCCTATAAATCTGTAATACTTTCCTTTGATCTACCGTATATATATTTTATTCTCGTCCGAGATTTGATAATTAGGTACAAGTACAAATAACCGTTTTGTCATTCTAATTATTATCACTAACTTAAGTATAATTTTCTTCAATGGTCCTGTGAACTAATTACAGATGTCGAAATTTAACTGTCACAAAACACTGAGCTTAGATTTTGACCGTTCAATAGAAATTACTTAAATAATCACTTCATTCATTTTTCAAGATGACGATTCTCGACAAGAATTCATGTTCTATACTTTCTCATTCTCAAATTCCCAAATCATCGAGATATTTGACCAATCAAATTAATCTCACCATTGATGAATCGAAGAACCATTAAAATCACGAAAAGATATACATAATATTAACAAGGGATTTAGATGAAATATACAACAGTCAAGAGAAATTTAATTCTTCGCACGATTATGCTATAGAATTAAATTTGACATGTGATCCGTTCAATACATTCCAAGTGTACTAATCACAAACCTGAATAGTAAATCGATCAACACTACAACATTCTAATATAATACATTGATTGTGAACAAGTTATTTATTATCAAAATATAAGTTGTCTCGTATTGTATTTCTCTACTCAAGTACCCAACTTATACTAATACAAGTAATCATAAACACTTTAATTTGTATACTCAATAATAAATATATACAATAAATAAATAAAACCAGAATTTATTTATTAATTATTATTTTATTATAGCAAAATATAGTATATGTGTACCCAACATCAAAGTCTTAGTGCTTTTCATTAATTGAGTGTTATCACCGCTTCATAGTTAGTTAAAAAAACTCTATAGTTTGTTGCAATGTTTTAAAAAGTGTAAAGCGTGACCAGGCATAGAGTCAAAACTTCAAGCTTTATGAGCTCAAGCAAGCCTAGGCGAGGCTTAAGCTTTAAAAAACATTTTCTTATTTATAATATTATTTAAAAATTTTAATCATTTTAAAATTTATTTAGTAATTAAAACAAAACATATTAAATATCTAAAATTAACATTTACAATATTTATTTAATAACTCCTACCATTAGTTAATTATACAATTTTCATGTTTTCGAAATGCAAAAGTTGGAATATTTTTCATAGTTTCAATTTTTCACTAGATAAATCCTACTTAATGAATTTATATGAACTTCTTACGTTGCTTTTGGAATTTGTAATAAAACGAGTCTCAAGATCATAATTACACAATGTAGATAACACAAAAACTTAAATCTTACTTAAGTGTTTAGATAGAGTCATTTTTAACTTTTGTATAAATAATTTTTTTTAAATTGAAATTAAAGTCAAATGAAAATTTATTTTTTATTTTTTGAAAAATAATAATAATAAGCTAAAGTCAAATAAAAGAGCGCATCTACGGAAGACGAAAGAAATGAAGGAAAAATTCAACCGTTCAAAAATTGGAAAAATAATAATAATAATAATAATAAAATAACGTCTAGGTGAGATGCAAGGCATTTCACCCGAGCTTCAAGCCTAGGTACCGCCTAGACGAGCTTTTTAGAACACTGATTTGTAGTTATAGGTTTTAATTTGCAATCATAAAACTCATGCAATTTTCCTATTTTGTTAAAGTTAGTATTAATCGGAACTAAATTTAGTATGCAGATCTCGTGAAAAACGATATTTTACTTTGTTATTTAGCTATGATATCATATACGTTTGGGATTTGAGGTGAACAAATAGCAATATTTTCAACCTGACACAAGTAAAACGTTCAATAATTCACCATTGAAAAGATAACCAAGAACATACAGCAGCCAAACCTAGCTAGGACAAAGAGCAAACAAACTGCGAAGCGACCTCACTGATTAACACACAAATTGCTAAGCAAAAACAAATTGAAGAACATTAGGCACTAGCACACGCCTAGCCTCATCTAACACCGATAATTTTGTCGTTGTAGCTCTAGAATTTGGCTTGGAGCTGATCCACGATGTTCTTATCGACCTGGAATGCTTTGGCAAGAATATCACTCGCAATGTCCGGTTTTGATCCAAAAACTGCGTTTGCTATGGTAATCACACCTGGATTCTGACTGCTCAATCCAGCAATGGCTACAGTATTTTCCTTACCAACATTGCGTTGAAAGTGAACGAGTCCTATTGGGAACACAAAAACATCACCCTTTTTAAGTACTTTAGTAATGTGCTTGTTATCTGGGTTTGAGGTGATGAACCCAACTTCAAGAGAGCCTTCAACGACGGTCAGGATTTCAGTGGCTCGGGGGTGAGTGTGAGGTGGGTTGATTCCCATTGGCGCAAAGTCAATACGAACCAATGAGATGCCAAGAGTGTTGAGACCTGGCAATTGCACCACAGTAACTGGTGTCACCCGGGACCCAACAGGGTTTGATGTGTTACCAGGTAAGTGCAGCCCGCTGAATGAAAAATCATCAGCCGAAACAGACATGGGGTTCTTGCAGGCGACGCCGTTTACTCTCCCTGAAAATTAGAATTTAGATCTGCCATTTATTTTAATAAATAGAAAGTATAACATGAAATGCTAATAAATGTATTACCTGAGGCAGCAGCATCTGCAACACAGAAATCTTGCAGAGGTGAAGGCTCAAATGCAAAGGCAAAGCAGCAGAGACTGAGAGCTACAACGCTGAATAAAAGAATGTTTTTTGCCATTTTGAATTAAATTAGTAGTGGAAATGGAATTTGGAAATAAGATTCAGTTTTGAGATTATTTATAGGCACCCTTCAAGCAAAGTACCCTAGGAAAAGTTATTCTATCCTTTCTTAATGAAATGTGAATCAGCCGTCCTGCAGGGAATACAAACAGACGAAACAAATAAAATTCGACGTTGAAAAATAGTCAAAGATGAAATTTTCAATTGATACCAGAAACTTGTATATTAGCCATTTGTGTTATCGTTATGGATTGAATCTCTCCTGCTGGCCTGCCACCCTAAGGACTCAAATGAATATTTATAAATGGCATATATATATTTTTACTTTTCCAAACAGATATTGATGAGCTGAATGAGTCTATCTTGAATAAAGGCGTTGGAAAATTACTTATTTTAAAGGCCTGCATAAATTTAAATTCAATTCGTAAACTAAGGACTTGTTCGTTAGTAATTTTTAGAATTAATTTTTTCACCATTTGGGAAAAAAGGTGAGAGCCACATGAAAGTAAAAGTGTCAAAAATGACGACTGAAATAATAAAATAACGATAAAAAAATCAATTTTTGGATAAAAAAAATCACTCCCAAATACGGCCTAAATATGTTTAGAAAGTATTTATAAACATTTTAAATTATAAATAAATAACAATGACCGGTGAATAATACTTGTAAATTCCTCAAAATGCGTACGAATAAAAGTAACTTGAATGTTATAGATTTTATTTTGCACTAAGAAATTTATACATAGCATCCTATGTTTTTATCAAAATTTATTCTCTTAGCACCAAGTATTGTGTGTCGTAAGTTCTGGAAGTAATTATTTTGAGGAAATTAATATACATTTATATCATGGATAAGAGAATCAATCCAACAGCAAAAGGGCATACATAACAAATATGGTTCAAGTAATAACAACACTACTATTTTACATGTTTGACAATTTCTTACTGATGCAATAAACCCGAACCGGATTAATTTGCAAATTAGTGTACGATTATGTCATCCAGTAATTCAAATATGTTGCATACAGATTGATTAGTAAATAAAAAACTTCAGATTATATGCTGCTGGGATTTCGGCCTTCATATTTCATCTCTTTTGCCCTTCCTGTAATCATTGTTTTGGAAACCACAGAGCTAAAGCCTGAATCGCTTCAGAGATGCAAAGCAACCACCCTTGTGATTATGCAGCTGCCACAAGCCCACAACCTGTCAAAACTCAAGTCCTAAGATATCGAAGAAATTTTGTAGTAGCACTTTCCATTACCAAGATATCAAGACAGTTTCGAGTAATTTTAGTCAGTAATTATTCTATCATATGGTCACTATTAAGTTTTTCTTAATTATAATATGGTAATCTTGTTTATATGAACAGGGATCATCAATGCCCCTAAACAAAATAAGAAAAGACAAGTAGACCAAAAGAAACAGAAACTACATGCAAAATTTTATTAAACAGCTGGCAGGAGACTTGAATTCAGGACCTTTGCCTACTCCGATATCATGTTAAATTATTTGATCTTAAAGCTTAAGTTGTTAGAATGGAACACATGTATCATTTAAATCCTGTCTTCAACAATGTCTACCACGATAACAAATAAAAGTTTATAGTAGCTCTGCAATAGATTGTAAAATATGAATAAACTCATACCTTCTAGTTATGTACTGAATTCAGCCCCAAAACTGAGCGTATGGCATTCAAGATTTCTCATGTTCAACTGTATCAAAAGGAGGAATACAATTTGTGCATTTGGTCATAATGTCAACAGGCAATCTCAAGCAAAAATCAGAGTGCATGATCATACAATGCCTGAAGGCCAGCAAGGATCAGTTTAAAAATAAAAAATTACTCCTTATCCTTCTCAACATTAAAACCAACTTCCTAGAGTTATGCAATTTTTTTAATTTTCTTTACCACATTACAATGTATTATGGTGGTAAAATGTCCAATTCAAAAGGTCATGTCTAAATTTAAGTTGTAATGAAACTAATTAACTTGTAAAAATTGGCTATGATTAAAACAGCAAGAATTTGGTCATCGCCTGATTTTAACATATTGAAAGCACGTAGGCATGGTTGATAGAGATGAGAACACTATAAGTGCTTATCGAAAACTTGTCATCACACAAGACATAAATAGATGAAAATGTGACATATGATCAATTAACTTAACAAAACATAGAATAAAAAAATGTTTGATAACGAATATTCACATCATCAAGATGCTCAGCACTTCCATCTTTCCTCTTTCTTTTCCTCGTTCAGTATCTCTTCTCCTCCCATATTAGTTCAGGGCATCACTTTTGCTTCTTTTTTTATTTCTTAGTTTCAGTTTGTATTTTCCAGTTTTGGTTGGAAAAAGGAAAGGGGGCCAATGCACTATAGGCCAAATGATAAATTGCACTGACAAGGAATCTTATGCAAAAAGTAAGACTAGTGGCCTTCTTTTGGAAAATTATAACATCTATGGTTTCATATTGTGCAAGACATCTTGCGGGTGCAAGCCTGCTCAGGCCAAAGCCATCCCGCCCAAGCAAACTGGATCTTTGAATTGACTCAAGATGATAAAAAGTGAATCAGGTACACGAACGACTTCTTAAAATTACTAATTTCCACAGGAATGTAAAATAACCTGAGCTGTTGTCAAGCATTTTAAATCTCCCGTGGCAGATAAGAGATGTTAACCGTAGCAATTCCATCAAAGTGAAGGACTGCACTTCACTCTGCTCGTTGCAGACTCCTTAAATCATCAACCAGAAATAAGTTGTTCTGATCAACCATCCCCCCTCTACTGTCTATCTAACAATCCAGTATGCTCTGCTAGCAAGCCGAACTGGCTTTTGCTGCTTGATGCATTAAAGGCACCAAAAAATGCTAATAGAATACCCTCATCTAAGCACCCATAAAAATAGTAATTGAACCAAAAAATAAATAAATAAATCTGAACAGTTTAAATCTAAACCCACACTCCATCCTATTACCATGTAGCCTTTAGATTTATCAAATTTTTAAAGGGCACATGTAGCTTCCACCAACTCTTGAATATATATTTTATTTCTCAGTACATCTAACTTTAACTCCAGGATAAGTCCAGTTCCACTTCGAAGAAAAATTTTCAGCAGGAAAAATTTTGATATGTTTCAAGCAAAAAGTTTCTACTTTTCCCTATCTTCTTTTCTATTGGATGTTGGAAGTTTCAGATGCAACACGAAGAATGGAGCATTCTTACAAAGTCAAGTACGCTTTCTATCGAGAGTAACTTTGTTCAGTAGGCATATACAGATTGCAAAATCTTACCACCACAGCAGTTCCTGTTTCAACAAATCTGGGAATGCAAATGAGTCTTACAACCTGTCCCTCTGACCCTACAGTGTAGTGCTACCATTTATATTTATCTGCGGTAAGTTAAAACGCAAGCAATAATACAGATGATAAACAGAAACTTTAAGATGTACCCTTGACCAAGCGACTCTGATATTTCTCCTGATTACCAACAAAGTAGACATGAGGACAGGTCTCAATGAAAAATGGATCCCTATCAGTGAAGGGGTAACACCCTGCAAAAAAGAGGATTGGTGCTGACTAAGGCAAACAGAAGAAGATCATGTACACTCATGAGTTATATATATAATCAATCAATTTCCATAACATTTTCAGTAATCTAAAAGATTCTGCATTATATTACTGATTTTTTATTAAACTGTCTCAGTAAATTATTTAGCCTCCTCTTGGATACAAATTTATAAATGGTTTAAAATTCATTCAAAGCTATACATTGATTTCCACCACACATTCATAACTACTAATTATATCGACATATTTGACCATTCCTCTATATGAACCACTGATAAATTTTCCAAACATAGGCTTAGTAACTGATGGATTTTGATTAGCTATTCACTACAAGAAAAGTTCTAAAAGCCATTTGGCAGCATACTTTACTCGATTTTTGACATTCTTTCATATTCCAGCAAAAGGATGGGAAAGAATTACTATAAGTAAAACAAAAAAGTAAATGCAGCAGGAATCAATTTTAACCTAGAGTATTCGGGGCTGTTGGTGCTAGATGCCTCCATCTCAATGTCCTTTCCATGAATCCAAGTTTATCACTTGCATCAGAATATTTCTCAAGATCATCTATGTTCTGGCCTGACGTTCCAAGAAAGCTGAACAAACACGAGTACAGTGTTGTTTATTAAAATTCTAGCGAACACTAAGCTCAAATGAAATATTTTACCTCACATTGTCCAGTTCAAAGGAATGCGGGTTACTGCAGGATCTGAAAGTGTTAAAAGCTGATGATCCAGGAAAAAGGCATCTATGCAAAGCCTTAAAAAGAAAGAGGGGGGAAAAAACACTTAAGTTAACAACAGCATCAGCTAAATGTACAAGCCATATCTTCCAGGATTTCATTTGTGTGAAAGAAACCTGTTGTGGTAAGGAGAAATTTGCAGGGTCATCGGGTCCTGGCATGATGTCCAAAGGTATGCCTGCAGCAATCTGCACTTCATTTTAGATATCAACATCATGGTGCATAGTGGAATCTAAGTGGAAGCACACTTGTGGTATTACCTGGGTCAAAAGGATATCGAGCTCTTTTATTGGTTCAGATAATCTAGACTGATCCTTTGAACTTAAATTCTACAACCACCAGTTAAATTGTCACAAAGGAAGATTAATAAATGACATGCGTAATGGAAGATTCCAATAACAGACCACGTATCTTCAAGAAACCAAACATTCTTTAGGCTGTAGACACTGGAAGCCCACAAGATAGTTACTAAATGTAGGCACTTAAAGTAAAAAGGCCCAAAACTATGTCATTGCACTGATCATAAGTGGTGCTGGATGTTTTGCAAAAACCCAAAACTAATGCAGACATGAGTTATTAGTCTGTATGCGGATTAGACATGAGAAATCGAAAACAAAGGGTACCATACTTCAAATGAAGAAACTAATATAATGTCTACGGGATGTTTTGCAATAAGCAACATAATATCTGCAATGGTTTCGTAAAAAATGATATAGCATGCTAACTGTCAATTCCATACCCAAAAATAAATATGAAACGCTTATCATGTGAGTTAAGATGGAAAAAATATCCCAGGAGAGTTTTTTTTCAAGTCATGTCCCAAGAAAGTTCCACCGATGTCTAAGAAAAAAGTGGTCTTTGCATGTGAAAATGTCAGTAGAGTGAATCGGAGGATAGTATGCTTGCCCCAACAAATACCTTAACAAAAAAGGTTAACAAATTAGCAGAAACAACAATGTACAAAGAACTATAGAGAGATCAATTTTGTTACCTGACCATTAAGAAGTGTACGGGGATATTCAACAGAATTACCAGCTACAACAACTTGCACTATTCGAGCTGCAAAACTTTGTTCCTGAGCATAGCCACATTCATACAGTTATCCAAGATCAATAGTATTGCCATTAATTGAGTAATAGGATAACAAATAGTGAAAACAGAGCAGATGGAAGTATCTGAACCTTTTCGTCTCCCAGATGTCCAGTTATATGATCGATAAAAAGCTGAAATTGGAGGGGATTAGAGGAGCTGCCTCCAACACTTAATCCCGACACAAAAACAACATATTTGTCTTCGCCTGTTTATATTCAGCATGAAAGTTTAGACATAGCTTGAAGGACTAAATAGTAAACTTTACGCAACTTTCAGAGGGCAAACCAGATAAAATCACTCCATATGTCTAATTCAAAATCTAAGTACTCATTTTTTCGGAAAAAAGGGTATCCATGAAATTCCATTTTTCTTCTTATAGAACAAACAAGGTGGATGTTAATCCTAACTCTTCTAAAGGATTTCTTGGTAAAGGCTGTCATCTCTGAATATAGAGCAGTTAACTCTGAAAATTAGTCAATTATGGATAAAGACCTAAACTGGCACTCAGCAGTACACACCACTACAATGTGATGATGACGGTCCAAGATAATTGGATGCTAATTCTCTGTCACCCAGTTCTCAAAGAATCATATTGCCTACTAACTACAAGTTTAATCTTTTATCAACTCCAAAACATCTGCTTTGCTATCTTATACAGCCCCTATTTGGATTGGCTAAAAATCAGATTTTTAGTGGATTTTGATAAAAGTTGATGAAATGTGTTGTTCAAAATGAGTTTGAGGAAAAAATGAGTTTCAAAAAATGAGGGCCAGACAAGGGCATAATGTCATCAACTGTTGCTCATGTCGAGAAATAATTTTTTCATAAGAACTAAAGATCTTGACTAGCACTTCCATACATTAAGTGATGTTTCCGTAGATAATCATGATTCCATCAGCTAATCCACTGGCATAGCATTGAAAATTCAAATGTTCGGAAAGCCAGAGCAGCATAAAACAGGCAAAACCACATACATGGATTAGTTACAGAAATAGTCAGGAAGACAGCCTCTACCAGATACAAGTGGGCGCTCTATCTGGTGTGGAAAACCAGCTTCTAGGATGTCTTCAACCATAAAATCTCCTGCACCGGTTTCTTTTCCATGCAATGCAACCACAATCCCTGTCAAAACATCATTTAAGGTAAATAAATAAATAATTATTTGAATCTAAACTTATTTCCCTACAAAAAAGTGGGCAGGCTGTAAATTACAGCATGTAGTAACTTTCATAGCTTGGGAATTCTTTTGGAAGTTATCAAATTGGATCAAAGATAGGGGACAATTCGAGTTGGTGCCAATTAAGACCACATAAATAATTGTTCAGATAACAATGTCACAACACATCATGCCAAAATAAAATGGTAATCTCGTAGTTCTTGGTTTGAAGACACATTGTTAGGTGCTCCACTTTCTTTTCCCATTGAGGTGAAAGCTAAACACATGCTTGAGATATAGTTGTTCATTCGATGATAAGGAATGTAAGGATTCTTGATAAGAGAGTGAGATGGTATTCCCACCGAATACCACAACTGAATAGAAAGTGACATATACTGACTGAGATGAAGTGGCATAATATAGAAATCGGACACATGAGCTGTTTGAAAATGGCCTATTATAAAATTAATGAGCAGTTAGACACAAACCTGTTACGAAGACAGAAGGCAGCAGTAGAGCTCCACAAAGTTTGACTCTTCCGCTCTCATCTTCCAAAACTAAATAATCATCTGAGCTCACGAAATTATGGGGTTTTACAAGTGGTGTTGTAGATCTCTGTACCCACAATTCAATAATAAATAATGATGCAGATTCAAACCGTGAACTCCGAAAAAATGGAGAAAGTGCAATTTATTATTCGAAAACCTCAATACCTCCTTAGAATACTCATCAAGAATAGAAGGTTTGAGTTTCATGTGCTTGTAAATAGTTCCAACAATAATGCATTCTTTTCCTTCCTCCAATCCAAGAACAGTACAAACTGCAGCAAACAAAATGGAAGTGTTAATGGAAAACTAATCTGTGGAGCTCAAATGTTTATTACCCCTCAATATAAAGGCCTGGTCAATTGTCATTACTAACAGTTAATACCAGTATATATTTCAGTTAAGTGCCTAGAAAACTCAAATATGCCCAAAAATAATTAGAGAAAACGGAGACCCTCTAGGGTTGCCCGTGTAGACTTTAATATATTCCACTAGTAAGACGTCAAATTAAAATTTGGTAAAATCTCTTATGTCAGAACATCATTGAAGTTTTTGTAACATTATTTCCAGAGACTAGTTAACCAGATACAAGAGAAAGGTAAACAAGTTGATCATCCTTTCCCTTGTTTCTGTTTTTCTTCCTCTTTCTTCATTGTTTGTCTGAATGGCACTAAGGGGATCCTGTCAAACTGACCTAATGATAATATTATTATTATACATTCAGTATAAAATATAATGAGAAAATTTTGAATGCTTAATGGTCCAAGAAATTCAAATTTAGAGAGAGAGGGAGAGAGAGAGATTTCTATATGACTACAACCCTAAACACTTGCTACCTTAAGAAAACAAAACCAAGGTTAACCCACAAACACTGTAATATTATAAGGTCAGTGCTGAAAATAAATGAAAATCAACAAGAAAATAAGAAAGAGAAGGTGAAAAAGAACATACCAGGAAGATGGACTTTCCAATTAGGGATGAGAGAATAAAGCATAGTTCTCATCAGGTGAAGCCTTGCAAAGTATATTTGACTGTACTGTTGCCCTCTGTACATCTCCTTCTGTATCCCAAACCTCTCGTCCTGCATATTGGTGCAAGAAATATTGGGAAGAAGGATGGGAACATTAAGAAAGAAAAAGAAAAATGCTATTTTTTTGAATTATACTACTAGAAATCAAGAAACCACAGAGGATACTTATTATGTGTTTTACCAAAGATTTGTAGAGGGATTGTTTTCTTTGGATAGAATCGTTCCCCGAGTCTACTTCCATGGTTGCTGCAGCCATTGGTGGGAAAACACTGCAACCGCGATACAGAGAATCAAATCGACTCCTCAATATGTATTAGAGAAGTAGATAAAAACATGCGCTAAACACACACAAAGCTTCACGCAAGATTGCGCGCTGTACGCGAAATTGGGATATGGATGGAATATAATGAAATAAAGCCAAATTCTCGCTCTCCGAGAAGAGGGGAATCAAAGCCCGCCAACCTCGGTTAGCTACAGTCCTTAGGCCTCCCAAAAAGAGAAAAGTCTCCGATAAAAAATCCTTACGCCTGACATTAGCTCGAACATTGGCTCGAGGCATTTTCTCCCTCACAAAGGGGGTCGCAGTGACTAGGCCCGGCCGATCTTGTATCATAAATTTTTGCCAGGACTCTTCACCAAGTGAGGACGTAGCTCAAATGGTAGAGCACTCGCTTTGCATACGAGAGGCACGGGGTCCCAGCAAGAGGTTCCCCACTCTTCTTTGATCCATCTTAGGACCGAGTGGCAGCCCGCATCTTCATAGGATTTCTCCTTTTGCGAAATTGTAAAGGTAGCTTCCAATTTCGTAAAAGTAGTGTGAAAAGATGAAATTGAAATAAATATACATGCCTTTTCTAGGCTAAATTGCACATATAGTCATCAAGTTTTCAACCTCATGTGATCTCAACATTCATTTTTTTTTTTGACATTCTTAACCCTGACCTTTCATATTTAGTATATAGCACATCCCCGCTAACGATTTTTATCTAAAAGCACAGTTAAATTTGATAAAAAGGAAAATTGGTCTCTAATTTAAAATGATAAAATATAAATATTAAAAAAAAAAAAGTGCAAAAATCAGCCCTTCTCTCACTCTTCATATCTCCCCATAACTCTTGTTATCTATAAACAAAAATAAAAATGCAAATTTTTCTGTTTTAAAATTTCTCTAAGAGAATGAAGAGGTTACTACCCCTTCCCAAAAATATGCTTTGTATTCCTTGTCATGTGCTCCTTTTCGAGCAGATGTTGGAGGCTCTATGCATCGAGGTAGCGAAATTACAATCATGTGACCCTAGGATCTCCTCAACTCTCTCTCTGATGAATTTTGATGGTTGAAATGAATCAAAGTTGTGTTTCAAAAAATATTACTTGAGATTAACATGAGTAAAAAAATTATTTAATAGGAGAGGCAATAGGTAGGAGAGTTTCTGACAAATGGTGGTTGGCATTGACTCATTGGCGAAGCCAGGAAAATCGTTCAGCACAGGGACCATTTAATCAACATTGAACTTTGAGTTTTTGATCATGGATTTAATGATGATAAAAACATAAAATAATATTGGTATAGTTTATAAAATACACTTGTTCCTTGCGAGTTTTCATACTTCGATATTGTTGTACAATAACTTCATTATTGGATGTTAGCATTGTAATCTAAAATCGATATCCTCAGTCCAAGATCGGTAGGAAGTTGTGTAACATCAAATTCCACCTTATTCAATATATCCCAATCAACATTTTCTACAATCGATTTTCTTTGAAAGAATCTCTTCATTTGATATCTGGAACTAAACATTATTGCTATTAAGAATGTTTCGAGTTAAGCCCAAATCAAGTAAATGAAAGCAAAATCAAGTTACCTGAAGCGAAAGCAAGTTAAGACCAAATCAAGTATCAAGTACAATCAAGCCAAATACTCTCAATTAAGTTCACCAAGCTCTAAATAATCTAATCTCATCCCTTTAGCAATTCACAACATCCAATTACTCGAAGCAATTCAGAATGACAGAGTAAAAAATACTGGAAGCAAAAGCAAAGCAATTCACAGAGCAATACTGGAAGCAATTCGCAGTGCAAATTCAAGGAGAGTAAGCAACTCACAGAATGCTATCACAGATGCAGCAATACTGGAAGCAAAAGCAATTCAAGAGCAATGAGTAGGCTTCGGGGATTCGCCTTCTAGGGCTAATGTCGAGCAACTCAAAGAGATAATTCCATATGTTAAAATGAAAATTCAAACATTACATAAATCAAAATAATAAATAAAAAGAAAAGAAAAACGAGTAGGCCTCGGGGGCTTCACCTTCTTCTTCTGCTGTGCTGTCGTCTAGGGCTCGAAAACAGGGGCGGAGCCGCAACAGATTTCGAGATTTGAGGAAGGAGGGGCCGGGTGAGACTTTTGCGAGAGGATGAGAAGTCAATTGGCGGCGCGGAATGGCGGAGGTTGAGAAGGCCGGCTGTAGTGTCCAGGGGCGGAGGCAGGGATTTTGCTCAGTGCAGTGCGGGCATAAGTTTAGGTATCAGCTACCGTGATTTTTTGGGTCAAATTAATTTATGAAAATTTAGCTTCACTTCTCCCAAATTTTTACTACCACAAAATGTAAAGGAGGGAAAAAAAATAATGAAAAACAAGCTAAAAGGGTATTAAACCATATATATATATATATATAGAGAGAGAGAGAGAGAGAGAGAGAGAGAGAATTAAACGTAAATCGCATATTAAACTGTCATTAAGTTATAATTTTCAACATCAATTTATTATTTATCACAAATCACAATCTACAACCACATTACACATATTCTCAAATTCACAAAATTTCCAATTTTCATAAATCATAAACACGAACAATTGTAAAAGAATACAATAATATAAACCATTAAACCATGATCCAGAAGATTGGACCAATTAATTTTATTAAGGGAAAATGTCATAAGTAAGAAATTAAGTATGAAATATTTCAAAATAAAAAAAACAAGTTTCAAACTTCAAAAATCGGATTTTTTATTAAAATTTATTTGTGATTTAATTAATTAATTATACTTAGGTCACATATTTATACAATTTGGTCACGAATTAACAATTTAATTAGGCACTTATTATTTTTTGGTCACAAATCAAAAAATTTATGTCACAAATTATTTTACGATCACAATTCAAAAATTTTGAAGGTCACAATTTGTTCATCGGTCACAAATCAAAAAATTTATTAGTCACGAATTAATTTCTAGTCACAATTTATCAATTTATTAGTCACAACTTATTTTTCGGTCACAAATCAAAAATTTTATAGATCACATATTATTTTTCGATCACGAATAAAAAATTTTATAGGTCACAAATTATTCATTAATCACAAAATCAAAACTTTTATTGTTCACAACTCATATAGTCATTTCAAATTATTAGATTAATTGGTTACGATTAATTTTTAGTCACAACTTATCAATTTATTGGTCACAACTTTTTTTCAGTCACAAATAAAAAATTTCATAGGTCACATATTATTTTTGGGTCACGAATAATTTTTTTTATAGATCACAGATTATTCATTGGTTACGGAATCAACTTTTATTGGTCACAACTCATTTATTCATCGCAAATTATCAAATTAATTGGTCACGATTAATTTCATCGGTCATAAACCACTTCACCACCGCACTCTACCCTAACCCCATCCCACCACCACCATCGCCGCCATAACCACCACGCGGTCGCGCCTTACCGAACCCCAATCCAGTACAACCACCACCTCTACTGTCAATACACACCACACCTTAAATCACTGCCACACCATCACCACCACCTACAAAATCACCGCCTCCCTGTGACATCAGCAGCGGCCCATGACATCCACAAACTAATCTGAAAATGTCACCACCACCATCACGCAACACTACTGTTAGTTTCCATTACAACGCACTACCATGAAATAAATAAAAATCCCGTAACTACCTTTGTCCGACGCCTCCTCCACCAAACCATGAAATCTGCCACCGTAGATCTACCCACCATCTCACAACAATCAGTCAGCAGTACCGCACATTGCCAGAGAAACCACCATGCCGCCAATATCACCGCACCCTTGCACAATAGCACACCCAACCATCGCCCCTACACAACATCGCAACCACGCATCACCACCTCTCCCACAGCCCATGGCACCACACCAGTGCAATACAACCACCACTACAAAACTTACTTCCACCACCAGATCCACCATCCCCATTAGATCTACCACCATCGCCAACAAGCGTCACCTCCATTCACTGTGTGAAGCGCCTCTACCACCATAGCATCTCCACCATGGCAAAATTGCTGCAAGGACGAAGTAGCAGTAGCCGCAAAGCACCTTTCAATCGGCAATACAGGCGATAGGCACTATCGACCGGCGATACAGGCCCCTTTGCTTCGCCGTCTTCATTTTTCGTCAGGGAGAGAGAGAGAGAGAGAATAGTGGGAATTTGATTAGGGTTTCTGATTATTGGAGTATATAATGTATTTAGTAAAAATATTTATTTAAAAAAATATTAATTAAAATAAAACATCTGATTTTTGAAAGGTCAAACTACTCATATGATTTTAGAATTGTGAATTTTTAAAGTATGAAATTGTGTAATTTCCACTTTTATTAAAAAGAAGAGGCCTAAAAGAAAAAAGGCCCACAATTAAGAAAAGGTCCCATCCACTCTTCTTCATCTTCCAATCTCATAAATTCTTCAACTATCGGCTTCAAGTTTTATCAATGTCTACTTCCAACCAGTAAATTCTTGTTCTCTTCTTCTACTTCTTCTCTTCTTAATCCAGTGCAGGCACACTGAAATTTTCTGTGTGAACTCCAAAGTCCAATGCCGACATCTGCCCGCACTCGACTATATGTAGCTCCATCCTTGGTGTCGTCCGTTTGTTGCCAATTGTCCCAGAAGTCGAATGACAGATGAAAGTTGTTGTGGAATGAATGGATTGGAATGGTGTTGGGGAAAAAAATTGGAAATTACATTCCAATCTGCTTTTAAAATGACAATTCAAAAATAAGATTTAGTGCTTGTTTGGTAGAGATTTTGATAATTAATTTTTTTACCATTAAAGATAAAGTGGATCCTACATGTGAGAGAAGAATTCAAAAATGACGGCGAAATAGTAAAATAACGGTCAAAAAAATGATTTTAATTAGATTAATAACTATACCAAACAAGCTCTTAAAGTTTACTTAATCAAAAATAGGTGATAAATTAATTATTAAATATTAATAATAATATTATAAAATTAAATTAATATATACACCCACCCCCTACGCATCTATCCAAACCCAATTTCACACAGAAACCTTAATTCATTTTCCAATCAATTCCCTCTCTCCATCTTATCTCTACCCACAAACCCTCTCTACTCAAGTTCCGATGCGAGATTAGAACCATTAGAAGAGGTTCGGCAAGGACTACAAGATCGGCACGTTTCAAGAGGAGCGGTGGCAACATCTGCCCAAGAACGTTGTTACTGTGAGGACCTCTATCTCAAGTGCGTCGATAGTAAGAGATGACGACGTCAAAATACATTGTGACGACGGTGCGCAGAAGAAGAGATGATGTCGTCAAGATACGTCACATTACAGTTCGATTGGATGCCATTTTGGATGTGAGTGATGATGTCGATGTCGATATTTGGGATGTTTTTGTTGAGTGGTGGTTATCGTTGTTGGGGTTGTGTCTTGAGTCTATGTTGTAGGCGATGGGGCTGTGTTAGTGATACTATTAGGCTGTGTTGGTGGTGGTGGTCGCAAGTGCTCGTGGCAACGGCGGTAATAACGTTGGTGGGTGGATATGATTTTACAAATGGTGGTGTATTTTTGATTTGTTGGGTGTGGGTGGATATGGTTTTACAAATGGTGTTGTGATGGTGGGAGTAGTGGTGATGCTAGTGGTGGTGTGTTTTTGGTTGTTGGAGTGGTGGTGATCGTTATGTTTGGTGGTGTTACGGATTTGGGTGGTTCTTGTTGGCAGTGGAACTGGAGGTAAAGAGGTGAGTTGGCGACGAGGTTATGGTCGATGGTGGTGTGGTGCAGGCGACAGTTGGGTGGTGGTGGTCATTTTTTGCTGTTGTTAGTGATGTTTATGGTGGTGTCGCAATGGGGGCGGGGTGGGATAGTGTTTGTGACTAACTACTTGGTTGATTTGTGATCAAGTATTGGTGGTGGATCGAGATTGCGATGGGTTGTTTGGTGTATGTGACCAGTTATTTGGTTCTTCATGACTAACTTTGACCTTAAAATTCGTTAATTTTTGAGTAAAAACTAAAATATCATCTATATAAACAATAATAAATTTATTATGTTTACTAAAGATACTATCCATTTTTCTTTGGAAAATACTAGGGGCATTTTTTAATCCAAATGGCATAACTAACCATTCAAAATGTCCTTCTGGACTAGTAAAGGCTGTCCATTCTATTGAATCTGGGTGCATTTTTACTTGCCAAAAACCAGATTTTAAATCAAACTTACTAAAAATATTACAATCTTGAATTTTGTTTATTAAAACTGTTTTGTCTGGAATATTATAAGCATAATCTATTGTATTATCATTTAATCTTTTATAATTAATTACCATTCTACTTTTTCCTCTAATAATTTCTGAGTGTTTTCTAACTATAAAAGCTGCTGATCTATGTGGACTTTCTGATTTTCTAATTACTCTTAATTTTAATAAATCTTTTATATGCATCCTAAAATCTTCCTGATCTTGATTTGTTGCTTCAATATTTTTTGTTTTTATTATATATTCTGGATTTTTTATTTTTAATTCACATAAAATTTTATCTTTTTTCCAATATTTTAATATATTTTCTCCTAAAATTTCTAATTTTTCTAATTTACTTATCATATTTTCTATATCTTGTTCAATATATTTTCTCCTAAAATTTCTAATTTTTCTAATTTACTTATCATATTTTCTATATCTTGTTCTGTTACTAAAAGATTATAAATTTTTTCCATTTCTACAAATTCTAAACATGATTCTTCATCTTCTTTAAAACTTTCATAAAATTCTTCATATTCTTCTATAAAATTATCAAATTCTTCTTTTTCTATTAATTGACATTCTCTTTCTTTACTACACTCACATTCTTTTTCTTTTTCTGTTTTTATCCCACCACGCTTCTCAGCAAACTCTGATGGAATAATTTTAGTATAAGTAGGTGCACAAATTATAAATTTTTGTAATTGCATGTAATCTTTACTAATTATTATACTACCATTATCTTTTAGTAAGAAACTTAGTCCTAAGATTAAA